CCTAACCTATACTAAACCCCTCTAGGTAGCGTTAGGTTGGTTAATCTTCAGGTGAAATAAGCTGAGTATTTAATCTTCAGGTAAAATAAGCTGGGGTCTATTCTTTAGGTGAAATAAGCTGGGATCTAATCTTCAGGTAAAATAAGCTGGGATCTATTCTTCAGGTGTATGATGGCCGGAACCGAAGAGGTATGTTATCACCTGAAGATTAGACACCCCGGTTTATTTCACCTGTAGATTAATGGATTCTTGGTACGGCTTGACAGCTCGTAAATAATAAAGAGATTAAATCTGTCTGCCAGTCTGTCTGTCTGCCTCTGTCTGTCTGTCTGTCTGTCTGTCTGTCTGTGTCTGTCTGTCTGTCTGTCTGTCTGTCTGTCTGTCTGTCTGTCTGTTGTTGTTGTTGTTGTTGTTGCCGACTTCTGCAAGCTGAGGAGCTATCTACCTGCCCCCATAATGGCATCAAAGCTAAAGAGACTTACCGGAACAAGATGCGTCATTAGGACGAAGTCAGAATCAACAGCAAATACCTTACGTACAGTACTTTCGGGTTCTCAGAAGTCCGTAAGTTGAATTAAAGGTATAATGAGGAACCTAATTGGCTGACTTAAGCTAAAAAAAGTACAATATTGAAAATGAATCCAATATTACCCCGAGACTCAGCGCTAACTAGATATAATGTTCCCTTAGTAACAGTTAAGAGGAAAAAAGAAAAAGAAATATTAACATTCAGAATATTTATGCATCAGGATATATCTAGTTCTTGTACAGTCTAAATGTACATTCTACGCCATTTTTCATCCGGTAGTTACATTCTTACGACATACAGTGAAGGAGGAAGAATATTAACGTAAGAATCTTCAACAGTTTCACCTTCAGAGTTCTTTGTGGTGTGGTAAGTATTGTCCAAATTCACGTCTTCAGTAAGATGGGAGGGAACATTGTCGTGTAAGACTGTGAGAGCGTGTAGCACTGTCTGTCCCTTACCCCCATCATCCTTCCTGCCCTCCCCTCCCATTGCCCCCTCCACCATCACCACCCACTGTCACAACACCAGTATAGTATTTGTCAGATATTGAACTCTTGTTGCAACCTCTCTCTCTCTCTCTCTCTCTCTCTCTCTCTCTCTCTCTCTCTCTCTCTCTCTCTCTCTCTCTCTCTCTCCTCCTCTTCCATATCACCATGGTAACCTGCAACCTCCTACCACATCTAACCACACACACACACACACACACACACACACACACACACACACACACACACACACACACACACATACACACACACACACACACACACACTCGGAAATAGTGTACAAGAATGTGCCGTAAAATGTTCTCGTTAAGTTGTTTAAGAATAAAAGTATTCCGAGTCTTAATGATTGGGACTGTTTATTCTTATTTTGAAACTGGGTTCAGAATCTTGAAAAAATCCATATTCGATGTATCTCTCTCTCTCTCTCTCTCTTAGGTGTCTCAGATCCAGCATCATAAGATGAAACTTGTTGAAACAATGACACGTGTCAGTATGTTTCGTGACCGATCATTACAAAGAATAATTTTAATTTTAATAGTACGGGTCGGGTGAAACTGGGAGTGGCTGTTTCATTACATTTTTAACATAGTGAAACACACATAAAACAAGGATATCTAGATTACGAAATCCTGGGATGAAACACATCCCAGGGCAGCGCTGGGATGAAGCACAGATATACACGTTTCATCCCAGGGCAGCGCTGGGATGAAGCACAGATATACACGTTTCATCACAGGGCAGCGCTGGGATGAAACACAGATATACGCGTTTCATCACAGGGCAGCGCTGGGATGAAACACAGATATGCGCGTTCATCACAGGGCAGCGCTGGGATGAAGCCAGATATACACGTTTCATCACAGGGCAGCGCTGGGATGAAACCACAGTTATACACGTTTCATCACAGGGCAGCCTCGGATGAAACATAAGTCTCTCATTCTCTCTTTCATCCATTTTTGCTTTGTTGGCAGTTTATCGATCTTCTGTCATTCTCTTTTTCTTTCTCTCTCACTGTCCTCTCTCTCTCTCTCTCTCTCTCTCTCTCTCTCTCTCTCTCTCTCTCTCTCTCTCTCTCTTATGAGTGTTGGTGATTAATTATTTCAGTCTCGATTTAGTGAATTGATATATTTGGTAATGGTGAACTTTTTTCTCATGTTTGTAGAGAACTTTCTCTTCTTTAACGATGAACTTTCCTTGCAGTTACGACGAACTTTCCCTTAACTTACATTAAACTTTCTCTCCACTTACGATGGACTTTCTCCAATTTGTTATGAATTTAGTCTCCCCAGGCACTAACTCGCCCTCTTCCTCCCCGACAGAGGCGTCCGGGCAGCAGCGTGATCGACGGAGGGGCGCCTATATTGGCAAGCTCCTCACCCTCCAGCACGAGGTGTCGGGGATGTGTCAGCAGTCGATGAGGATAAACTCTACATTGAGAACTTTACCTATGATGGCGTTGGCCCAGGTAAGTTAACACCTGCATAATTAATTTGTACCTGTGAGGTTAATTAGCAGATGTGTAATGGCGTCAGTTAGATTTGTTAATGCCCATGTGCATTAGATACCTGTATTGTTCATTAATATGTGATGTTAATGCAGATTAGTAATGGAATCAGGTAAGTCGTCAACAGGTGTATTTAGGCTCAGGTGTGTTTTCATATACAACCAATTGACACCTGTGTGATGGAAACAAGTGTGTCGATGAGCAGATGTGTTAAGTATCAGGTATATAGAGAATCACTTGACAGTAGGCCCTGTGTTTCTAATTAGTTTGCTTAATTAAAAGTAGAAAAATCAGACCATAAAACCCACATAACACAAACATACAATTTTAAGAGCGATTAGAATATTAATAATTGTACATTAGTTAGATTTATATACAGGTTTATGCATTATACATTTATACACTGTGAGTCTTTTGCTTTTAATTCAGGGGAGTAAGTTAGCCATTAATGAAGTTTTGTGAGTCAGTCGCTTCTCGTGAATACTGAATGTGTGTGTGTGTGTGTGTGTGTGTGTGTGTGTGTGTGTGTGGAGTTGCGTTAATTTAACCTTCCATTTACTTATTTATGTTTGTCGTATTGTATAGTGTTTTACGTGTTTATTATTCTGGAACATTTTACTGCGAATAGTAAAATTGTTCACGTGTTATAATTAGTGGTGAGCAGCCGCAGTGTTCAGCAGCTAGGAAGTAACCACACACGTAAAGAGGATGTTGACAAGAGTGGCCAGGGACTTTTGAACTAATTTGTACATAGATACTGCACGATCATCCTCTTCACACTCACCAGATTTCGTCTCGGTAACTTCAAAAATGTGAATATGCACAAGGAAGAAGATACACACTCAAACACGCACACACACACGCACACACACACACACACACACACACACACACACACACACACACACACACACACACACACACACACAAATGTATCTTTTATATCTAGATGTGTATATCAGTACGAATTCAACCCATTGAGTACGATGAGTATGTAAATGATAGATATCTTAACCGCTTGAGTACAATGATTTAATCCCCTGAGTACGATCAGTTAACTCTCTCTCTCTCTCTCTCTCTCTCTCTCTCTCTCTCTCTCTCTCTCTCTACATTTGGTCAAAAGTCAATATTTTTCTTATTTCTTCTTATGGTCTATGCACTGCTTCCTTCTCTTCTTTGTCGTACTCTCTTCACCTCTTAATTATCCATTTTACTTCTTCTTCCTTCTCCTCCTCCTCATCTTTATTCATTTACCCTTTCCTCCTCACCTTTTTCCTCTACCACACCTCTCTTTCCTCTTCTACTCCTCTTCCCTTTTCTCTCCTCTCCATCTTCTTTCTTCTTCTTTCCCTTACCTCTTCCTCCACCTCCTTCAATCCTTGTCTCCATCCATCATCCTTCTCTCCCTCTATCTACAACCTCCTGTCCTTCACTAGCTCTTTATTCTCATTTATCACTCCTCCTCCTCCTCTCCTCCTCGGCCTCTTCCTCATTCTCTCCTCCCCTCCTCCACCTCCCTCTCCCCTCCTCCTCCTGGCAAGTCCGAGGGCGGCTCCTTGTGTCCATGCCTGTGTGGTTGCCACGACCTGACTCCCTTCTTTCTCTCTCTCTAGCAGAGCCTCTTTACATGAGTCATAAAACCTTTATTATATGTAATGTTTCACCTTCAAGACGGTGTTATTCTCACCTGGTAGAACAGAACTATTACCATGTTGACACCTGTAATACTTTCTCACCTGACTCACATGACACCCCCAAAACTATTCCTTACTCCAGGTTGTTGAGGTTAGTTAGGTTAGGATTAGGTTAGGTTCAGGTTAGTTGGTTAAGTTAGCATTAAGGTGAGTTAATCATTGGAAAACATAAAGGGGCTAATCTTCAGGTGTTCCTAAATTTCACTAATTGTGTACTCGTCCGTCTCCGTCCTGCCACCCACTAGTACTCAGGTCAGCCGAATTAGACACTCCAGCTTATTTCCTGAATATTGAACTTGCAGTTTATTTCACCTGAAGATTAGACATCCCAGTTTATTTTACCTGAATATTAGACACTGCAGCTTATTTCACCTGAATATTAGACACTGCAGCTTATTTCACCTGAATATTAGACACTGCAGCTTATTTCACCTGAATATTAGACACCGTATCTAATCTCACGTGAAGATTGTGTCGCTCTCCCTAAGCTCACAGGTGCCCCGGCATAGAACCAGAGTCCCGCCACTGACGAGACTGAGGCTGGACCCTTGAACGAGGTGAAGCGTGGAATGTGGTGTTTGTTTTTTCTTGTTAGGTAGTGTCTGCCTGTGTAGGGAAGAGTCTGTCTTTTGTAGGTCAAGGAAGGACTCTGCGAATCTTCTTTCTTTCTCCTCCTCCTTTTTCTCTTCATCTTCTCCTCCTTTTCTCCTCTGGCTACTTCTATTACGTCTCTTCCTCCAAATTCACGTTCATCCCAACCACCATACACTGTATTATCATGACGTCATTCAGTGCCCATGTCATCACTCTCTATGACGTCATCACTAAAACCCGTGACGATGCATGCGCAGTAAAATGACTCTCATTCCCTCCCTCCCCGAAGAATGGCACGACGACGGAGACACAGAAAGTGTACCCGTGGAGGGGTGCTAGAGTAGGAGAGAAGAGGTGGGTGGGGAGAAGAGGAGGAGAGGAGTAGGGAGAAGGGAGGAGGGAGAAGAAGGGAAGGGTGAGGAGGAGGTTTAGATATTTGGAAGCTCATCTTTAAACACAACATCTAAGAACTTCCTCCCTAGAGATTCCTCACCTCCATCTAGAGAGTCCCCCCTCCCCCACCACAGAACGCGCCATTGAGGGAGTAATGAGAGAAGCAGTACTGTACTAGCCAGGAACCAACCTTTAGAGCGCACATCGGGAGTTCCACAGACTTAAGATAGAACGCTCCGCCGACGTAATCAAACTAATGGAGTAGAAAGATAGAATTTAATCACGGGGTCGCTAACGGTTATTACAAATCCGTTACAAGACGCGCTTGGAAAGGTCGCGCGCGGGTTGAAGAGATTTGTCCAGGACATTGTCGAAGGATTTTGTATCAAAGTCCTGTTGTCCGTTAACGGGTGTTCCAAACGGGAGACTCGCGCCGTTTAAGTGATTGGAGAAGGAAAGGGGTTTTGGGACAGAGGCTCATTAAAGAGTTTGATTAACTTACCCAGTGGCGCGCAGTTATGGCGGGAAGCTGACAAAAGTAGCAGATAATGCGTCTTTAAGGTTCGTTCAGCGGCCTCCAGCCATCGATCATTTGCTACTAACGCTCGGGGGCAGGACAGTATTAAGCCACTCCACGGTCGTTAGGTCGAGATCAAATACCTAATTCTTGCGTGGTTTTCGTCTCTATGGACACATCAGCCGCGGCATCAAACCCTGTGCATTCGTCTTGTTACTTCCAATTGGAAATGAGAAATGGATTTGTGGAAGCGAACTGAAAGGAAAACTTGTGTGAAGTCTGTGGTGTGCGCTTCCCCTTCCCTCCCCTCCTTCCCTCCTTCTCCCTCCCCTCCCTTCCCTTCCCTCCCCTCCCTCCCCTCCTCCTCCTCCCCTCCCTCCCTTCCCTCCCCTTCCCTCCCCTCCCTCTAGATAAATCCTTGTGGGACTTTCTCCAACAAGGCTTACATCAAACCTCAGATTTCAGGTGTGAAAAATCCCCATTCTCTCCCTCTTCTCTGTCCCTCCAGAAGAGAGAGAGAAATGAAGGAAAATGAAGAAGAAAGACATGTAGAGAGGGAGAGAGGAGGTCAGTGAGGAAGGGAGAGAGGATGAGAGGAGAGATAAAAAAGAACGGGAGTGGGAGAATAAGATGAAGGAGGAGCAGAAGAAGAGAGTGGGGAGAGAAGAAGGAAGAAAGAAGAAGAGAGAGAGAGAGACTCCAGCGTTCCCTCAGAAACATATTTGAAGGAATATAAAAACAGACCATTTTCGAGCGTGTGGTTCCTCCTCCGCCTCCTTCTTATTGTTGAAGAGGAGGAAGAGGAGGAAGGTTTTGGTAACTCCAGGTGAAAATCTGATCTGCTTGTGATGGTGGTCACTCTCTCTCTCTCTCTCTCTCTCTCCTTCACTCTCACCCTCACCCTCCCTTCCTCTCTCTCTCTCCCTCCTTCACTCTCTCTCCCTCCTTCCTCTCACCCTCTCCTCCTTCACTCTCTCTCCCTCTCTCTCTCTCTCTCTCTCTCTCTCTCTCTCTCTCTCTCTCTCTCTCTCTCCTTCCTCTCACCTCACCCTCCTTCACTTTCTCTCTCTCTCTCTCTCCTCTCTCTCCCTCCTTCACTCTCTCTCTCCCTCCTTCACTCTCACCCTCTCCCCTCCTTCCTCTCCCACCCTCTCCCTCCTTCACTCTCTCTCTCCCTCTTCCTCTCACCCTCTCCCTCCTTCACTCTCCCCTCTCTCCTCCCCCCCTCTCCCCCTCTCTCTCTCTCCTCTCTCTCTCTCTCTCTCTCTCTCTCACCCTCACCCTCCTTCACTTTCTCTCTCTCTCTCTCCTTTCTCTCTCTCTCTCCCTCCTTCTCTCTCTCCCCTCCTTCCTCCTCACCTCTCCCTCCTTCCACTCTCACCCTCTGATGATCGGCTTAGCGGATGTCGTGGGGCAATAATAAAGTGTGAGCTTTATAATCCTAATTTACAGCCTCTTAGAGATCTTACATCTGAGGGGGTAAGTGATGAACCCGCCAAGTGTTAGTCATCCCCGCCAAGTGTTGTTCAGTGTTAGTCATCCCGCCAAAGTGTTAGTCATCCCCATAAGTGTTGTTCAGTGTTAGTCATCACCAAGTGTTAGTCATCCCCGCCAAGTGTTGTTCAGTGTTAGTCATCCCCGCCAAGTGTTAGTCATCCCCGCCAAGTGTTGTTCAGTGTTATCCCCCACCAAGTGTTGATCATCCCCGCCAAGTGTTGTTCAGTGTTAGTCATCCCCACCAAGTGTTAGTTATCCCCGCCAAG